CTTAAAGTTGCCAAGATAGCAGACCCCTGGCCTAGAAAATATGAGCTAGCAATAGATAGCAATCGCATTTCTTTTGTGATATCATCATTCACATCAATTGAATGAATTGTTGCTGCCCTACTATCTGCCCCTATTTATATTTTTAGAAAGTAAGAGTTCTACAACAGCAAAACAAGTTGAGCCTGGAGGCAGCACCAGGCCACTAGTGTTCCGGCTCCATTCTAGCGTGCCTTCACTAGTCCGTGAAATTTTATTGGAACGTGGTTGGATTGAATATGATGAGCATGAGCAAGATAATGAAGACTGGAACTTGTACTGGAGGAATTGCCCTTTCCGGATGACAGAACACCAGAGCGTCAAACCATGGCAGAGACTCAATCACCATCCAGAAACCATCAGAATCACTCGGAAAGATTATTTGGCAAGACATCTGAAACGCATGAAGGGAATTTATGGGACCACCCTTTATGAGTTCAGTCCAGTGGCTTTCATCATGCCCAATGACTATATAAAATTTATAACTGAGTACTCCAAGGAGAGGCAAATTCCAGGGAAAAAGTTGAGTTATTGGATCTGCAAGCCGGTTGACAGGTCTCGCGGGAGAGGCATCCTCATTTTTCAAGACATTAAAGATTTTGTTTATGACTGCATGGTAATTGTGCAAAAGTATATCAGTAACCCTTTGCTTATTTCCGGATACAAATGGGACCTCCGTATTTATGTTTGCGTTACAAGTTTTTATCCCCTTACAATTTATATATATGAAGAAGGACTGGTGAGGTTTGCAACAGAGAAGTTTGACCTTAGATCCCTTGACAACATTTATGCTCACTTGACAAATACAAGCATCAACAAGTTTGGACCATCATACAGAAAGGACAAAGAAGTCATTGGCTCTGGATGCAAATGGACTTTTAGCAGATTTCGTGCCTATTTACGGAGCTGCGGTTTTGATGACCTGCTCCTGTGGAAAAGAATCAACCATATAGTCATTCTAACTTTGTTGGCCATCACCACTTCAGTACCATTCACTTCCAACTGCTTTGAGCTCTTCGGGTTTGACATTTTGGTTGATGAGAAATTGAAACCCTGGCTTCTAGAAGTAAACCACAGCCCAGGCCTGCGTTTAGACTGTGCCAGTGATGTCATTGTCAAAAGGAAGTTGCTCCATGACATTGTCGACTTGTTGAACTACAAGGAAGCTGATACTCTAAGAAAAAGCAGAGGGACCAATCGGAGGCTTTCATGCTTCAGCCAATCACAATATATGCTGACAACCCAGTCAGAGGTCCCACTGGATTTCCTGAAGTGTGGGAAAGGAATCAAATCAGCAACAACTTCCCCTTCTCCATCGTGTTTACAGATCAATAAAAGAACCCCCACCTATGGCAGAACAGTTAGTGCATATCCTCGTAAAACATTGACTTCACAATTACGTGAAAAGTTGAACATGCCCCAAACTCCTATCCAATCAAAGCCATTATCCAAAAGCAGACAGATGTTAAGAACTAGTCATTCACTATGTGAGTCTGTGCAGTCCACACATTGGTTTAACTCACTAGAGTTCTACACCCACAAGCCAACTATTCCTCCTTATTTTCTCTCAGATAAAGACAGACGGCCATTCCCCCGTGTAGGTGATTTTATCCTTATATTTCCTTTCAATGATGCAGCACTTGAAGCGTCGAAGAATGGAATGAATGTCAAAAGTGTAATACAGGAAATCCATAAATTAATAAGTAAAGAATTACAACCAGAATATCAAAAATTAAATAAAGCTTTAGTTAACCAGTAGACAAATGGTTGGAGCAATTCTATACTCTTTTTGATGAAAGAACTTGAAAGCTGATAACAAAAATATAATGTGTGCCATTCCTATACTAGACTTCCTCAACCTTGTGACCACCTGATGTACCAAACCAAGACTTATAATTTCTCAGACAATAAAATCAGTAGAATCTAATACATCTAGCAGGAGGGAAATTTTGGAAGTTTTTCCTATATACTTCCAAATTTTCTTCCCTTTTTTTTTCTTTTGAAACAATTCTCTTCTCGATATAAGTGCAAATGATGGGAAATTTGCAATGACCTCTTTCAAAATATTGTTATTATAGTTATACAAATAATGGAAACAACAGAGATACAATATTAACCAATTTATTCAGATTGTGGCATTTGAATCAATAAACAGTACAAACAAGTAGTATCGCTTGTATTAACATATCATTGTTTAATTGTAAAAAGACTTTTGGTCACTTTCAATTTGCATTCAAGTTCAGCATCAAAATTACAGAAGTAAAAACAAGGTCAAATAGCCTGTTTCCCATGAACATGTCAAAAATACAGAATTCTTTTCTGTGGTCTAACATAGACATGCTCATCCACACATTCATCCTGTCACTGAAGGACCACACAGGATCCAAACACAAGATGTGACACCAGGTGAGCCTTCCCAAACTCAGAACCCTCTATATGACGTCATTGGACTACAAACCACTGATTCTTTGCCATGCAAACAGAGATAATACTCATTATACTCCAACACTTCTAAAAATCACCAACTTGGAAAAAGATGTATACTAGGGAAACAAACAAATACAAAGACAGTTGAATGACAGGGAGACTTGGACACAGAGCTCCTGAAATTTACACATCTTAGTACCTGAATTTCTTCACACAGCTGAAAAATATTACGGATATGCACTCCTGATGAGTGAAACCTCTCTGGATGCAAATGTTTATCCAGATTTCATTTCGCTGGAGCACCTATGGCATTTCTGTAACATGGTTTTTTTTTCCACACACGCACTTACAAGCTGAGTATAAAATGAAAGCTCATAATATTAAAACTAGTGGTGAAATTCAAATTTTTTACTACCTTTTGGAAAGAGGGGAGGGTAAAAACTATAGATAGACCTTGATGTCTGACACCACTGTATGACAGAATTTCCATTGTGTGGTCTGACCTAGGCTTCCTAAAAAGCATGAATCAGTGTCTTGGTCCCGGCAAAACCACTTATTTACATGACTGTGAATTCCTTTCATTCACAGTCAGCGAGGCTTGGCAAACAGTCTTTCAGAGGAATGCTTATCAACACGAACCTTATCTCACTTGGCAAGCTGTCAGATAACTAGTTTCCAAATGCAGGGCAAGGCAACACTTGGCACAGAGTCTCATATAGTCACAAACAGAACTTTCTACTCTTGAAACGACCAAAGGAACAAATTGTTTCCCACAAAAGCCCTCTCCCTGTTCACTCCCCTTTTGTTTCCTATGGGAGGGGCAAATCACCTCCAAGGTATGCCTTTACTCCCAAGTCAACCCTGCTTTCTTAGTTGTTCTTATCTTCTGGCAGCTCTGTGCATGGGCACACTGGGAACAGGCTCCAGCTGTTCCTCTGCCTCACTGCTGTCTAGTTCCCTCTCTGCCTCCGACGCAGAGCCCTGGTATGAGCTTTCCTCAGCCTCCAGGATTGGCCCATGTTCCTCCCCAACCTCCTCACTGTCTGATTGCTGCCAGCTCCACTGGACGCCGGCGGGGCACAGCATATTGCTAGGCAAGGCAGTGGGTAAGTCAGTTGTGCCTGATTATACAATTTATTTTGCAACGATTAAGTGAATCCCTGTAAGTGTTAAGTGAATTGTGAAGTTATTAGGTGAGTTCAACTTCTCCCATTGACTTTGGTCATCAGTTGTTGGCTGGGAAAGTTGCTAATGGCAATTGAAAGACCCAGGGATAGTACAAGCACCCAAATTTAGATCACACGACTGTGAGGATTCTATGACAGACATAAGTGTAAGGACGGGTTGTAACTCACTTTTTTTTAGTGCCATTTATCTTTAAATAGTTGCTAAACAAATGGTTGTAATTCAAGGATGACTTTTACCTTCCTGTTATATACAAAACAGCTTTTTCATTCAGCAACTACTTGATTGGTGCATGTAGTCATTTCCACCTAACTACTAGCCCTTCTAGCTCCAGATATATCTATTTTTATTGCTGTCTTTTCACACGTTTTAAGAGGCATTGCCACAGCCTCCCTGGCTAAAGGATGTATTTTCTGGCCTCATTGCACACAACAATATAGTATGAATGTTAGCTTGATCTCATTGTGATTTGTAAATCACTGTTTATGGCTTGGCATGTTGTGAGAATCCAGTCAGTTATGACTAATTCAACAAACCCTGGCTTAGCAAACAATGGCTCAGCTAATCACAGAAATCTCAAAACTCAGATCCTGGGAAGGTGATGTTGATCATCTCAAAACTGGTGATATTTTAGAAAAGATAGTTTACATTAAAAAATAAAAACATTTTCCTTTGCCACATACAAAAGGCTACAGATGAGTACAAGCATTCAAACTTGCATGATAAAAATTATGATGATCCACACAGGAGTGCAACAAATGACAAAAGATTTGCAACACCTTCACCCCAAACTCTACAGCTTATGTATTTCCATCAGGCCTCTGGATGCAGCTATGTGTGATGACGTTATTGCATCTGTGTCAATTTCTGACATCACCACAATGTGTTCCACAAGCTAGAGGTCGTTGTGACTGATTAATTAGAATATACTGTTTTTTTTTCTTTTAACGACCCTGTAATCCCTTGCATTGGAGTAAACTTGGGGCAACTGATTGGAGGTGAGCATTTATAGCTGTATGCCCTTCCTGATGTGTCTGTAGAGTTCACAGCAGATTCATTGTGCCCAAAGCGAGAAATATCTGCCGCTATGTAGGATCGAACTCACAGCCTCTAGAATCAGTGTTTCTCAACCTTGGCCACTTGAAGATGTCCGGACTTCAACTCCCAGAATTCCCCAGCCAGCATTCTGGCTGGGGAATTCTGGGAGTTGAAGTCCGGACATCTTCAAGTGGCCAAGGTTGAGAAACACTGCTAGATTATGAGGGGAGGGCTCCACTTCTAGGGCACTATGGCAGTCCATTTAGAATATACCATATTACTTCTATGATTTTAGAGTTATAGAGGTTCTTGATTCTTCCTCACAACTTCTCACAGCTCAAACAAAAGCTAATGGGGCCTGCAGTCTTTCACCATGATTCCAGAATTCCTTTCCACTTCAGGCAGATGGGAGCAACCTTTTTTTTTCACCACTCTTTCAAAAATAAATTCATATTGAACATCACTATAAGATCTTTTTTTTAAAAAAATGCTGATTATGTCACTGTTTACATTAATTTACAGCAAACCCGTATTCTATTTGCATCGCTTACATTTTGAATTTTAATGCTGGTAGAAGGCTTTCGGAAAAAAACTGCAAGGTTTTACAACTCAGCAGCGTTGTAAGGCCTCCATTTAGGAGAATGAGTCATTCGTTGAGAATAAGCGCTTCCTTGTCATTCGGCATTGGGACCCGTTCAGCAACGTTATTGGTTTCCCACTGGCCATTAGCATATACAGTCCTTATAGTACCGTCAGGGTACTCTCTTCTTTTCGACCCAGCAGTTTGGATTTCCTTTTGCCCATTATGAAAGTGAATGGTTTTATCTCCATTTCTGTAAAGAAAATAAATCACATGTGCTCAAACTAATATCTTCAAAATAATATGGGTTCATATCAGGTTTTTACTTTTATAGTTATAATGTACACTGAAGATGGCATTTAATTTCGTTTAAGTTTAAGCTAAAACTTAACTTAAACTTCAACTAAACTAAACTAAAGCGCTTAAGAGTCAAAGCATTTGCCCAGTGCAAAGACAAGGAATTCCTGACCCCAGGAATAAGCATCTTTTACAAGTTTAGTAAGACAGTCAGTAAGCCAGATAGCTATCAGACAAGGATATTTTATTTAACGGAGATTAACTAGGGTTCCTCAGAAAAATTGTAACAGAAACAAAGCACAGTTTCTACCTAGCCTTAAAGTCAAGAATAGTTTATTCATGTAGTCTCAATCTATGACAGGTCTCTTAATGACCGTTTGAAATTATATCAAACCCTTCCCCAAAACTACTTATGACACCATTTTGAAATTCTGACATCATCTCCCTGCGATCACAGGACTGCATTTTGGGCGCGTAGCAACCAGCCTGCATTTACAAGCCATTTGCAGAGCCCTCTGATCATATGACTGTGATTTACAACGCTTTTGCCAGAAAGCACCATTTGCTTCCAATTTCCAGCAAAAAATACCCCATAACAAACAATGGATTTGCCTACCAATGTCCACATTCATTTCAAGTCAGTACCATTGTCTTCTGTGTCCAGTCTATACCTCTGTAAGGTAAAGGTTCCCCTCGCACATATGTGCTAGTCTTTCCTGACTCTAGGGGGCGGTGCTCATCTCCGTTTCAAAGCCGAATAACCGCTGTCCAAAGACGTCTCTGTGGTCATATGATCAGCATGACTAAATGCTGAAGGCACATGGAACGCTGTGATCTCTGTAATTACTTACTTTTCTACTTTAACCACCGTGCCATCTGGGAAAATGGTTTCCTCAAAACCTCCACCATAGCGACGTTTCACTGTCTGGTTCGGAAAGATGATCTCTTCAGTACCATCAGGATGATACTTTTCTGTCAAAAAGGGCATCATTCAAAATTCCCTGTAAACTAAATTGCCCTGGTCTAAATTGCATTATGAATAAAATACACACAGATGGCCGTTTTATATATAGTGATCGAACAATAGCAGATGACAACAATTTTCTTGTGTTGGAATGGTGGCCCACTTAAATTCTAAACCTGCTGAAGCCTCATCTTCCTAATTAAGGGAAGGTAGTTTACATATATTATTTCCCAAGCAGAAAACAGATGAGTAGAATATGTACAAAAAATCAATGTTGTAATATAGTAGCACGCTATTATACATAATGCATGTAACCATATATCGTAAAATGCAATTCTCCACTGGGGAAAAAAAATACAACCTAATAATATTTTACAATCACACTTCCAAAAAAATGCCTTCCAAATGTAAGGCTACATACAATAGATGAAGGCTCCAACTTTGGTGGTGTTTAAGACGAGATTAGGCAACCATTTGTCTGAAATGTTATAGGGCAGCGATGGTGAACCTTTTTTTGCTTGTGTGCCATAAGGGGGGGATCGCAGGGGTGGTCGTGTGCGGATGTGCCACACCCATAATGCAATGCACAACCCCCCCCCCAGCGTGCATGTGCGCATGACAGGTGTGACTCCCCCATTTTTTGCATGCTTTTTTTTGTCCTCCCCAGGCTCCATTGGCGAAAACAGCCTTCCCCACCCCCCCAAGAGGCCCTCCGGAGCCTTCAGGAGCTTCCCTGAAGGCTCCGGAGGATTAAAAATGACCCTACAAGCAAACCAGAAGTCACTTCTGGTTTGCTCATAGGGCCATTTTTAGTCCTCCAGAGCCTTCAGGGACCTTCAGGAGGCTTCTCTGAAGGCTCTGGGGAACTAAAAACAGCCCTACAACCAAACTGGAAGTCTGTTCCCAAACTTCTGTTTTGTCCTTAGGGCTGATTTTTTGTGTTCCGGAAGCTTCAGGGAAGGCTCCGGAGGGCTTAAACCGGCCCTATGAGCAAACTGGAAGTCTGTTCCCGAACGTCCGGTTTGCCTTTGGGCCAGTTTTTTTGTGCTCCGGAAGCTTCAGGGGAGCTCCTGAAGCCTCCGGAGGGCCTCGGGGGGGGGGTGTTTTCACCCTCCCCAGGCTCCGATAAAGCCTCTGGAGCCTGGGGAGGGTGAAAAATGGCTTTAAAAATGGCTGAACTCAGCTGGCCAGCAGGCAATGCCTCTCATGCCCTGATAAATGGCTCCACGTGCCACCTGTGGCACGCATGCCATAAGTTCGCCATCCCGGTTATAGGGTTTTCCGTATAATGTCCCTTCCAATGTCCCTTCCAACTCTGTTATTTGTTAGACATGTTTCTGTTTAAATATAATGACATATAAATGTACTTTCTTTTTCTGAAGACAATGAGTAAATTTCTGCTGATTTTAATACAGCCAGCATATCACTAAGGATTGATAATGAAAACTATAATCTTATTCCCGATAGACCTGTCTACTTTGCAGTTGTGACAATGTGCATGATCATTTGCTTCAAACAAAAGAAACAATGTGCCACTTTTAAAAAATGTCAGTTTCTGACGCAATGTCATAATTTTTACTTTCCTATAAAAGAAACCTGCAGAAAATCTGCCTGCCTGCCTGCCTCCTGCCTACCTACATACATACATACCTATCTATCTGTTTAAATACAATAAATTATAAACCTTCATTTATAATAAAATGTTTCTGCTGATTCTAATACAGCTAGCATACCACTGTGGATTGATAATACAAACTGTGTCTCCTGCTCCAGACAGATCTGCTTACTGTGAACAGCCCAAAAAATCTCTATTGAAGGGCAATAAGGAAGTTAATATAATACATGAAAAATACGTTGCCTCTATTAAGCCATTATGTTTCATGGTCTACACCAGTGGTGAAATCTGTGGGCATGGCTTGGTGGTGCCACGTAACTGGGTGGGCGTGACCAACTTTTTTCACTTTTTAAAGCATTTTTGTCCTGCCAGTTCAGGTGAATAGGCAGGATAAAAATGCTTTAAAAGGTGGAAAAAAGAAGTTCTGATGATCGCACGGCTCACAGCTGATCTGCGCAATCGGAAGCTTTTTTTTTTCCTACCGGTTCACAGAACCAACGTCAATTATCCCTACCAGTTTGGCCAAACTGGGCTGAATCGGGAGGATTTCACCCCTGGTCTACACAGGTCTTCAGAGTCTATTTTGGTGGCCATTTCATAAGGAAAGTGGTACAAAAGCATGTAACTTTTAATCTGAAGTTATATTGCTATCTGTATCAACTGTGGATGTGTTGAAGTGTAGTTTCAATGGCCAAAGTAGTTTAGGATGTAGGATGTAGTCCAACAAATCTAAATAGGGAAGAGTAGTCTATTATCTACCACCTAACATTGCTGAAGAAGTTGGTTTAAAACTTAATATGCCAACATCACATACCAATCTGATCATTCGGAAACTGCAGCACCTCCAAACCATCTGGATAAATAGTCCTGCTTGTCTGTGCATCTCCATAGTAATAAATCTGAAAAAGAGGGAACAAATCTTGGTTGCTTACCATCTCTTCTCCCAGATATATTTTAAATAAAACTTTTCCTTTTATTTAATATCTTTGTGACAAAAGTATCATATTTTTCATAGTATAAGACGCACCTAAATTTTGGGGAGGAAAACAAGGGGGGGAAATCTGCTTCTGCCTCCCAACAATTTGCTTCCTTGCAACAAACAGGAAACAGTACAGACAATATACACTGTTTGTAGTATTACATTTCAGACTATACTTTCACCCTCTTTTAGGATGACTCCTGCGAGTCCCTTGGACTGCAAGGTGATCAAACTGGTCAGTCGTAGAAGAGACCAACCCTGACTGCTCTTTAGAAGGCTAGATCCTGAAGATGAAACTCAAATACTTTGGCCACCTAATGAGAAGGAAGGACTCACTGGAGAAGAGCCTAATGCTGGGAAAGATTGAGGACAAAAGAAGAAGGGAAAGAAAGAGAATGAGGTGGCTGGATGGAGTCCCCGAAGCAGTAGGCATGAGCTTAAATGGACTTCAAAGGATGGCAGAGGACAGGAAGGCCGGGAGGAACATTGTCCATGGGGTTGCAATGGGTCAAGACACAACTTCACAACTAACAACAGCAATGTTTAGGAGTGGGGGTGGGGTGGGGAAGGAAGAGAAGGAACCACTATGTTTTTCAATTCAAGTACTTTGTATGCATATGCAAACACAAATACAATATTAATACAGCAGCTGATCCCAGTATTCCTCAGCAGTCTAATCAAAATGCAGATGCTAAAATGCTCTGTATATAATAGCATCCCTCAAGAACGTTTTCCCAACCTCAGGCCCTCCAGACTGTCTGTAGCTAGGGCTGATGTCTGCAATTCCATTTTTAAATATATCTCCAGGCACTCTGGGAAGACTGATGGTTTGAACAGCAAAGATGGCCCGGAGGTTGAGTTGATGCTAGCAGGAGCTCTCTGAATTGTTTAAAACAAATCAGCGGGGATTTCCTATTTTAAAGGACTTAACAAGAGAAGTCACAAAATGATCCTGACCCAAACATTACACGGGTAGTCCTTGCTTGATGACTGCCCTGTTCAGCAACTGTTCAAAGTTACAAATCTATTGAAAAAGTAACTTTATGACTGGTCCTCGCACTTATGACATTGCAGCTACTCATGGTCATTGGAGCAAGAATCCAGCATTTTGAAACCAATGGGTGTTTATGACCATCATAGTGTCCCGTAGTCATATGATCACTATTTGCAGATTTCACAGTCAGCTTCTGACAAGAAGAAACAGTGGAGAAATAAAACAGCAATAAAATTGACCACAGTCACATGAAATCTCACTTAATGGCCCTGTAGCTTAGCAATAGAATTGCCAGTCCCATTTATGGTAATGAAGTCAGAACTACTTGCACTAACCAAAATATTTTTTAAAAAAGGCTTACAGAATGCCAAATAGACTGGCAAATATAGAAATGCTGTGAGTTGCATTCAGGTCTGCTAATCGAAAGAAATTCCTGTATTCACGGGCTACTGGTTCTTGAAATTTCTTAATTTTAATTATTTGACTCTTGCACTAAGCTCCAGCTTGGTGTTAAATGAATTTAAAAACACACACATTCTGCAAGCCTGAAATTGGTCTACCTTTACTATATTATTCAAGGTTGTTCAAGGGTTTCGTTAAGTTAGACTTCTTTATGAACTTTCCCATGATCAGCCAAGGCAAAATAACACTCTAGAGCATTCGCTGGCTGGGGAATTCTGGGAGTTGAAGTCCAGACATCTTCAAGTGGCCAAGGTTGAGAAACACTGCTCTAGAGTCTAGTAACACTCTTGTTATAACAGAATAACAGAGTTGGAAGGGACCTTGGAGGTCTTCAGGGCAACCCTCTGCTCAAGTAGGAGACCCCCATACCATTCCAGACAAATGGTTGTCCAATCTCTTCTTTAAAATATCCACTGTTAGAGCATCCACAACTTCTGAAGGCAAATCATTCCACTAATTAATTATTCTAACTGTCAGGCAATTTCTTAGTTCTAGGTTGGTTCTCTCCTTGATTAGTTTCCATCCATTACTTCTTATACTGCCTTCAGGTGCTTTGGAGAATAGATCGACCTTCCTCTTCTTTGTGGCAGCCCTTTAGATATTGGGACGCTGCTATCATGTCACCCCTACTCCTTCATTTCATTAAACTAGACATGCCCAATTCCTGCAACCGTTTTTCAGATGTTTTAGCCTTATGCATTATTGAAATGGGAAGACTATGGAATTATATGCTGAAATAAATGTGTTCATATTTTGCTGCAACAAAATGACACAGCCTCCTATTTACCTCCTTTTTTCTCAAGATTAATCATTCAGAAATCAGAGTCCGTTGGTAAAACTGTAGCTTTAAAGCAGAGCGATGGAAACAAACATACTCACCACTGTCTGATCTGCTAAGATCTTTTTAATATCGCCATTGTAAAAAGTAACAGTCACTGTCTTTTTATCAGTACTAATTTCCATCTTTGTACCATTGGGGTATGTAGTAATTCTGCGTCCATCGGTGAACAGCTGCTTCACCTTTGAAGCAAAGACCAGATGTTTGAGAATACACATGCATCCTTTCTTGTATGGACAGCCACAACTCGTTATTCACATGTACATAAATTCATTTATAAATTCTCTTTCATTCATTTACAGTATTTCTATGCTGCAATCATCCTGACAAAATTTTACAGGAAGGCCAAGAAGGTATCCTTCTCTATTTGTATCACCTGTTTCCAACATTCCTCTATCATTTTCCTTCCCATTAAAAAAAATTGTCCAGGGGGAAAATAAAATGTAACTCTTGTGCAAGGCCTTGTGACTGGCAAAACGGAAGCCCTCCATCTGGAAGCTGATAGAGTGTTAATGTTGTGCTACCTACATCTATTCTCAAAGTTAAAAAAAAAATGCACTATTTGGGGCCAATCAAAATATGGCAGCAGGAAGCAAATAAAATTCCACTCAAACTGGGATAAACTTTTCTTAGCCCCAACTTTAAAAAAAATATCAAATGATATTGGAACCCTTTCACATGTTTTGTAATTGCACTTCTGGGTGGGAAAAAAGTTGCTAGTATTTCTATCATGAAAACATCTTCCCTTTGCAAAACAAGTAAAGAAAGGGAAACAAATCCACCTTCATGAAAGTGATAGTATTTTTCATCATAATTTATTACATTTATATGCCACTCAACTCCCAGAGAGTCTTGTGAGAACGGAAGCTAGGTTGCACACCCGCTCAAAGGATTTTTGCTCAAATCTTGCAACACTCAACTCAAACTCATTGAATATTTTCCTCTGAGTATTTCTACAAAGCAAGAAAAAGGATGGTGGGGAAGGGGCCTAAATACCTAGATGATTCCTCAGCCCCTTGAGTCATGAGGCTAAACCTGCCCTGCTGGTGGCTCTGTTTCCTTTGGTCTTTATTGATTGAAAATAGATGGTGCTTATTACTATTTTGGATTATTATTGTGGCTGCTTTATCATGTATATTATGTTGTTAAGGAGTTTGCAGGGCTTTTCTGTTTTAATACTCTGTGTGCTCTCTAGATTCACTCTTGAAAAATGTGCAGCTATATACAGTAAATTGCTTAAAATATATAAACAAATCCAAAAATAATAATAACAAAATCTCAGCATCTACATTGGCTACACTCCCACAAACTCTATAGGAGATACATACATACATATATACACACACACATACACACACACATACACACACATACACACACACATACATTCACACATACACGTTATTATAAAGCCAATATAGAGTTGCAAGTCCATTATAATTGTTCTGTCCCAAGCTTCTAATATATACTGACGTAGACTTGGCTGTTTGCCACAACTAAGGAGGCAGATAAGCAACCCCTTGGCTAGGACCTTGGAAAATTATCTCTATGAAAACAAGGCTTGAATTCACGAAATTCTCCCAATCTTTCACTATGCCTGGATTACTAAACTGTTGTTTCCTGCAAAATTCCCCTCTCATTGCCCCACCTATAAGCTCTCCGGGAGGGGCCAATCAGTAGCCACCTGTTCCTATTTCTTTCTGTGAGCCTTTTTCCAAAGCTGCTCCCTCCTCCTCCTCCTCTCAACCCTATGCATACGTATGTCAGGGACAGACTCCCTCTGTTCTTCCTCACTGCTCCCTGACTCAGATGCCATCTGGTGGCCAACAGGTCTCTCTAGTCCCTGCTCTGACTCCGAACA